AAAAGTCAAAAAAATTTATTTTTAACGACGATTTTACTATAACTTAATTTCAATAAAAATTGATGGAAATTAAATCCAACTATTAGGACTTATTGATAATTTACCCAAAAAAAATACAACAAGTTTAATAACTTTGATACGATTACATTGATAAAACATAGGTAGTATGAATACATAAAGAAACATAAAGATAAAATATATATTTTAATGTAAAAAAGATAATAATATTATTTTTTATTCATACCACTAACGAATTTATGATGAAAATAGGGCAAAGTATTTATTATATGGATTAAAATTTTCAAAGAGTCTAGTATGATTATGCCAAATTTGTTAAACTTATTCTATTTTGGGTTAGTTACTCCTAAGTCTTAATACAAGGAGTTGTACTCCATTTAGTCCCACAACTTTTTTTTTTTTGTGTGTAGAAAAAAAAATCCTAAGGCTCTTTCATTTTTCTCTTTCTCTTTCTAATATACACTTACTAGCAATTGGTGACTACTGTCATGACCTGAACCCGCCCCCGTGGGTTAAGGACATAACCGGCCAGTAATCATACGATTGCTTACGGCCTCAAATCAAAACAACGTATTTTAACAGAGTTAATGGGGGCCAAACGGAAGCAATTTAAAATTTTGTCCTTAGAGCTGTGCTTACATGACACATTAAAACAAACCATACACATATACATTAATAGCTCACAATAGATACACAGTACCATAAAGTTCTGTACAGACAGGATCATCCAAACTAAGTCAACCCATGAAAACTATATACAAATATATTCAAATACTTCGCCAACATAACAACTTAGAACAAAATGGCAAAAGGCGAAGATGAGTCTCATGCGTGAGACACATAGGCTGACTTTCCAAAATCTCGGTTGTTCCATACAGACTTCACTGGGGCTGGGTCTGGACCTCTCTTGGCTCACCTACAAACACATGAATGAGCGTGAGCGAAAGCCCAATGAATGATATCGAATAGAGAAAATACATTGGAACATTATATATCAGACGGCCTTGGGCCCAATTCATTCATGTCAAACTGGCCTTTGGCCTTTTCGAACGTTCATATCAGACTGGCCTTTTGGCCTTATCAAACTTTTGTATCAGACTGGCCTCTCGGTCCTTCCAAACTTGTCATATCAAACTAGCATTTAAGCCTTTCAGATTTTCATTTCAAACTGGCATTTAAGCCTTTCAGACTTTCATTTCAAACTTTGTCCACCATTCAACATTAATGAACTTTACAAAACTTATGTAGAAGTAAGCAATTGGACAATAACATATTTCAGATATTACTCACAGTGATCGGCTTGTGGATTTGCCCTGGAGCTTGATCCTACACATCACATAACACATATGGGTCACAATTAATTTAATCCGTTCTTTAATTCACATTTTCCTCTTTAGGCTTCATTCTTATCTCTTTAATTCAATTACAATGCTCAAAGTATGCCTAAGAATGATTAGTAGTGAAAGAGGACGGAAAACGAAACACAGAACACGTAAACAGAATTTCAGAAAATAGGGTCCCCGCTCGAGCATGGACTTCCCCGCTCGAGCGGACCCTTAAGGCCTGCAAAAGTACTGGTTGCATAAAAAATACGCTCGAGCGTGAATTAGGGTGCTCGAGCGGAAGGCCTATCTACAAAAACTCCCCATTTGAGCGTGAAATATCTCGCTCGAGCGGACACCAAGTTTGCCAAAAGTATTGGGAGCACGTATTCCCCGCTCGAGCGGACGTAAAAAATTCTGGGTGTTCCAGAACACTCCCTTGAGTTCAAACTTGACATTTCAACCACTTTTCTTGCACATTATGGCTCCAATTTCACATATACTTGTACTAACATGGTACCAATACTAAAATACATTAACATGGAGCTCAATTTCATGAATCAAACACATGCGTGGCTCATTTTCCACCAAACTCACTACCAATATAACAATTTCATACATTCAACACTTACACCCTTATAATTTGCACATGCATGTGGTATATTCTTCTCATTCTCAACTTATATGATGAAGAGGTGGTCAAGAATATGATCTTCAACTAAAAACTCACATAGATCATGCATTTGGTGCTCAAATATGCAAATTCGTAGTGCTCATATAAAAGTCCCTCTTGTGATATTATTATAATATCAAATAATAGAACACTAATTCACTAATTAAATCAATTTAATTTGATCTGAATCAATTTTCAATTAAACTTCACCGTAGGCTCTAAAAATTATGCCAATCACAATGACGCAATCAATTTTGGTTTCGGTGGCCGTTAAGGCCTTTAATTTAATTTCCAAAGTAGATAATTAAATAGATATTCCTATGGTAAACAGATAGAAATTCAAAACTACATATTTTCACGTAATGGCATACAAAATTATGTTAAACACATAATCACATCCATGTTAAGGACCAATTAACATATTACGGGACATGGATATCACATCTACCGTCGATTGGGATTCACCGGCAACTATTAACTACTGACTTCTAGCTTTGCCTTTGCCGATGACAAATGAGATGAGTTTTCAGTGATGCTATTGACATAGATCTACTTAGTTTTGGCCAAGATCACAAGACAAGACTCACCAAAATGTTCGGATTTAGAACAAATCTGAATAGATCTACATCAAATTCGGCCAGATCTAAACAAAAAATGGTTGTTGGAGTACAATCCTCTCTTTATGTATGTCTCTATTATTTGATCTACCAGTTTTCTTCCTTTTCTTTGCTATATATTTCTTTTTTCCTGTTTTAATGACTAATTTTTTTAAGTTTTAAACAAATAATATTTTTTTGAACAAATAGTTACAGGCGGTGAAAATTAGAAAATTTTGTAGTTTTTAATATACGTTTTTGCTTTTCTCTATGATTCCAGATTCCCCCCCATTAAAATAAAAAAGGAGTAAATATTGACAAATTAAAAAGTTACAAACCCTTAGAACCTATTGATATGAGATCTCCATTATCATCGTGACGTGAAATTGTATTTTAATAAATTGTAAACAAGCAAACTGATAATTTTTACGGTTTTGAAACAACAAATTTATGTAGTTTGAGTTCAAACCCTAACTTTTTTTAATTTTATGGATTGAAAATTATGTGCTTTGTATGATATATATATATATATATATATATATTTTTTTTTCTCGTATTTTTTGGTTATGTTCACAGGTATAAGCCATAATCTGTTAAGTTATAATCTATAATCACTTTTCTACAACTCTACCAAACGGGGCCATTGTGTATTATCATACTTAGCTTTTCCTTCTCCAATATAAAGGAGCATTGTATTCATTCATATTCATTCATTGAAATATACAGAGTTACATTCTCTCTCTCTCTCTCTCTCTATAATAGCTATTTTTTTTCTCATACACACACACACACATATATATATATATATATATATTAGTAAATATATATATATATATTAGTAATAATTAAAAATAGGATAAATTACACTTTGTCCCGCAAAAATTTTACCTATTTCCGACTTTGGCCCTTTAAATTTATTTTTTCTCACTTTGGCCATTCATGTTTGCAATCCTTCCCATTTTGGTCTTTTAAATTTAATTTTTCCCACTTTGGCTTTTCATGTTTGCAATCCATCCCCATTTGGCCCTTCATATTTGCAATTCTTCCCACTTTATTCCTAGACTAACTTCCATAAAAAAAAAATAACAAAATCTGCCACATCACTAACACATCAGTTTCACGTGTGATGTAAAAAATTCACTAAAGACGTAAAAAAACAAAAAACATAGAAAACAAAAAAAATTAATTTTTTTTTTAGTCTTTAGTGAACTTTTTTTTTTCTTCAAATTTATTCATAAATATTATTACATTATAAATGTATCTAGATTAGATGCAGCTAAAAAATTAAAAACAAATTTAACTAAAAAAGAAAAAAGTTTTCTAAAGACCAAAACAATGAATATATATTGACTCAAACACCTGCATTATCAATTCTGAAATGAAAAATTAGTGAACTTTTTTCTTTTTCTTTTAATTAAATTTGTTTTTATTTTTTTAGGTGCATCTAATCTAGATGCATCTATAATGTAATAATATTTATGAATAAATTTGAAAAAAAAGTTCACTAAAAACTAAAAAAAAATTTCAATTTTTATTTTTTTTATTTTTTGCATCTTTAATGAATTTTTTACATCATACATGGTGTTAATGTGTTAGTGATGTGAAAAATTCTATTACTTTTTTGGATGGAAGTTGGTTTAGAAGTAAAATGGGAATGATTTCAAATATAAAGGGCCAAAGTGGGAAGGATTACAAACATGAATGCCCAAAATGAAAAAAATCAAACTTAAAGGGCCAAAGCGGAAAGAATTGCAAACATAAAGGATCAAAATGAGAAGGATTGTAAACATAAAGGGCCAAAGTGAAAAAAAATCAAACTTAAAGCGCCGAAGTGAAAAATGAGTGAAACTTTAGGGGGCAAAATGTAATTTATCCTTAAAAATATGTAAGACTAAACTAATTGATGTAAGTATTTTATTTTAAAATGAGATGAGTTTTGATGCAAGCAATTTTTTAACTTTTAATTTCTTTCGGGTCATATAACTTTTTTATTTTTTATATTTTTTTTAAAAATAATTAAAAAAAATTTTAAAAATTAAATTTTAATTGACTTTTCAAAACAACCCTAATTTGTTTGGTTTCTCATTACCATGTATTTTCAGTTGTGTTTTTTATATTTTTTATATTTTTTCTCAAAAATAATCAAAAAAAAATTTTAAAAATTAAATTTTAATTGACTTTTCGAAACAACCCGTACGGGTGGTGCCTCTTGTAGCATTGGGTCATTCGAAAGCCGTGTTTGTTAGGGTAACAGCTGGGAGTATATTCTTTGGTGGGAACTGGGAACCGTAAGCCGTTAGATTCGAAATTTCAAAAAAATTAAAAAAATAGAGGACCGAGAGAGAGAGACAGAGACAGGGTCCTCTTCTTTTTATATATTTAAATTTAAATTTTATACAAATAAATAATGACAAACACGACTGACTCTCCTGGATTTCCCATTCCTAAAGAAGAAACTTTTGCTAGCCGACGACGACAAGTTTCTGAGCGCACTATAATCCTCTTCCTCTCTCTTTCTCGTCGTCTTCCAACCAAACCCTAGTTTCTCATCATCTTTTCCAATCATACAGCCACTCACCTCTTCTCTCTCTAAAACCCTATCTATACCCTTACTTTTTCCTCTGTTTTCTCACGTGAATCGTTTCGTAATCAGATAGCGATCACACATCAATAAAGGTAATTCTCTTTTGTACATGTATAATTGTTTTTTGTTTGCACAGCTTTTATTGTATATATGATTGAATCTCTTTGTCTTCTACAATTTCATGCCTGCAACTTTTTCGTTTTGCAGAGTTTAGATACAACTTTGTTTTTTTGGAATTATTTTGTAAAATTGCTGGGTTTGTTCTTTCAATCTGGTGATTTTTTATTGCGTTGTGCTCGGATGAATACTTAAATTACTTTTTATATATATGTACAGAGATTGATAAGGTTATTGTCAAGAATTGTAAATTTGAAGTGCAGCAAAACATTGTAATTTATTTTATTTTTTTCATTTATTATTCTTCACCTGATTTTGACTGAAGTTGGAGATTTGGATTTAAATTGAAAAATGGTTATCTTATAATTTTTTTTTAAAAAAATTGACTTCAGTTTACACTGCTTTTTACTTGCTTGAACTATTTGTAAGTTACTATTTTTAATTTTTTTTTTTTAAATTGACTTTCCGTTGGCACTGAATATCTGCAATAACAATTGAGTAGTTGGCATTTGATAAACATAGGTATAAAAAAGAGTTTGAAATTGTGTTTATGCTTGAGTCTTGTTCAGGGTTGTTGATTTTGAAATTTGGGACAAAGAAATGGAAGTCAACGGAGAGGATGATCTGAAGGCACCGCTCTTGCAATCTTCAGACAGTGTTGCAATTAGTGTTTCTCGGCCAACTCATAATGGAGATAAGAAAATTAAGACGATTATGTTCAAAGTAAGAGGCATCGAGTGTGCATCTTGTTCGAATTCCATAGAATCTGCGCTTGGAAAGCTTAATGGTGTCCAAAATGTCATGGTGTCTCCACTTGAAGGGCAGGCTGTAGTCAGATATATTCCGGACCTTATCACTGTAAGTCAAAGTTTGGGATTGCAGATGAATTCTCTCATTCCTTTGTATCTATTTTAATCTTATAGATCAACCATGTCTGGCATGGCAATTATGAGATTGTGGGATAACTCTCTACCTCTCATTTGCAACCTTTTGGGTCAGTAGTGGATAAACAATGCCATTAACTTGGTTTTTGTTTCGTAATGTATACTTTTTACTGGGTGCTTAATTTTATTCTACCTTGAGTTTAAATTACGTCTAAAGTTGTGATACTGGGTTGTGGCTGGGTGGTATAGATGGACCAAAACAAGCTATGATTTCTCCCAAGTTGTTGTTCATTAAGAGGAAAATAAGAGAAGCTTAGGACCTTAGACCATCTCTAGCGGATCATGTTATTTGGATCTTGCTAATGTCATATTTTAGCATGCTACAGTGTCAAAATGTCATATTTTGATAGACATACTCTAGCAGTGCATATGCTATTATTTAGCACGATCACCATATAATTTAATTTTGCGATACAATACGATATGATACGATCGTGTTTACACAATGTCTTTAAATCTAACTTTCAATTAAAAAATTATACTCTAATAATTAGGCCTCGCTTGGGAACAAGCTATTTTAGTAACTTTTTGGCTTTTTACGAAAAGATGTACAGAAAAGTAGAGAGAGTGATACGACAATTTATAGTGACGTTTTGAATAAAACATGTAGTTGTCAAACGAGGCCTTAATATTTATAAAAATTTCAATTCATTAATTTAATTCGAACTTACATTAAATAAATTAATTAACATACATATCATAGAGAACGAGAAAAAGGAGCATAATAAAACAAGTGTAGAAATTTAATGTATGACAATTTATAGTGACGTTTTGAATAAAACATGTAGTTGTCAAACGAGGCCTTAATATTTATAAAAATTTCAATTCATTAATTTAATTCGAACTTACATTAAATAAATTAATTAACATACATATCATAGAGAACGAGAAAAAGGAGCATAATAAAACAAGCATATTAATTATTTTAATATGATGGTTAACATTTAAAAAATATAAATAATTTATTTTTTATATTAATTTATTAATTTTATTGAATTTGCATTAAAAAATAAATAGATGGCATGATAATTTTGGGGGGGCAATACTATAAAATTTTAAAAGTCAATGGTCAAACATTCATTATGCTAAAATTTGGCATGTTACTCCCATCGCGTCAAATTTGACATGGTATATAGCATCATGCTAAGTTGGGCATAATGAATAGCACACTGCTTGAGTGTGATTTTTGTGCCTATCGTGCCCACTTTTAGCAATAACATGATATATAGAACACTGTTGGAGTTGCACTTACAAAAGGAAATTTTGAAGATTTTGGGATTGGAAGAGTGGTTGAGTACACATGATGTAAATTTCTTTGTTGGCATTTAAAGTGCTCGGATGGAGCGTTGTTTGCGACAAAAATAAAAACAGAAGTAAAATAAAACTTCTACAAATTCCTTTAACCAACATACATTATTCCGGCTGCTTAATATGATCTCTCTCTCTCTCTCTCTCACACACACACACACACACACGCACGCACACACGTGCGCTCGCACAAGCACAAGCACAAGCACACGCACACGCACACGCACACGCACACGTGCAGGTTTCTTATGCCTCATATTTATATTGCCCTCAAAAGACAAAAGGAATGAGTGAAAATGCAATTCGAGAGGTGTATTTCCTTTTTAGTTTGTCTTTCTAAAAGCACTTTATGTTCTTGATATTGCAATTTTGATATACTTTTAAATACTTAGATGCCTCTTGTGGACCTTAATGTAGATATTTTACCCATATTTATATGCTACTTGAAATTTTATTTCATTTATGATGGATTTTTGGTGGTGGTTTCGACTTTTATATTATTGTCTGAGAATAATTTACAATGAGACTTTATTTTAGGCAAAGACAATTAAAGAAACCGTGGAAGACGCAGGTTTTCAAGTTGATGAATTCCCAGAGCAAGACATAGCAGTTTGCCGACTCAGAATTAAAGGGATGGCATGCACAAGCTGTTCTGAGTCTGTTGAATGTGCCCTTCTAATGGTTGATGGAGTGAAAAAAGCAGTGGTGGGTCTGGCCTTAGAAGAAGCAAAAGTCCACTTCGATCCAAATGTCACCAATGCTAACCGCATCATTGAATCAGTAGAGGATGCCGGCTTTGGAGCTGATCTTATAAGTTCTGGAAGTGATGTGAACAAAGTGCATCTAAAGCTTGAAGGAATTAAGTCCCCTGAAGATTTGACTGTTATACAATCTTCCCTTGAGTCCCTGGAAGGTGTGAATCATGTTGAAATGGACTTGGAAGACCATAAGGTTACTGTTAGCTATGACCCAGACTTCACTGGACCAAGGTCTCTTATACAGTGTATCAGTGAAGCTGGCGATAGCCCCAACTTTTACCGTGCAAGCTTGTACTTCCTTCCAAGACGTAGAGAAACAGAGAAGCAGCATGAAATTCAGATGTATCAGAGCCAATTCTTGTGGAGCTGCCTATTTTCTGTTCCGGTGTTTATTTTCTCCATGGTACTTCCAATGCTTGATCCTTATGGGAACTGGTTAGACTACAAGGTTCATAACATGCTCACTGTTGGGATGCTTTTAAGATGGATTCTTTGCACACCAGTGCAATTTATTGTTGGCCGAAGGTATGGGTTAATAGTTTATTTGTATCCCAATCATGCTAATATTATGTCTTGTCTCATTTTCTGAGACGTTTCAAAATTTACATAATTTAGTAAATCTCATACTCGTAGTTTTGGATCTCCTTGTCAGGTTTTATGTGGGATCTTATCATGCATTGAGACGAAAATCTGCTAATATGGATGTTCTGGTTGCATTGGGCACTAATGCTGCTTACTTTTACTCCATATATATATTAATAAAAGCTTTAACTTCAGATACATTTGAGGGGCAAGATTTCTTTGAGACTAGTGCTATGTTGATATCCTTTATTCTCTTAGGAAAATATTTGGAGGTTGTGGCTAAAGGAAAGACCTCTGATGCTTTAGCAAAGTTGACAGACCTTGCTCCTGATACAGCTCACTTGTTAACATTGGATGATGACGGTAATGTCATCTCAGAGATGGAAATCAGCACTCAACTGCTACAGAGGAATGACATTATTAAGATTGTTCCGGGGGCAAAGGTTCCTGTTGATGGTATTGTTATTAATGGTCAGAGTCATGTGAATGAGAGTATGATCACAGGAGAAGCAAAGCCAATAGCTAAGAGACCTGGTGACAAGGTACAGATGGTTTGTTTTCTTTTAGTAGTAAAATTGATACTTCTGATATTTTTAAAATGTTTAATTCAATGGCGAAATATATATTTTGTAACATCATGAACAGGTTATTGGTGGGACCATGAATGAGAATGGGTGTTTACTGGTTAAGGCCACTCATGTTGGGCCAGAGACTGCACTTTCCCAAATTGTTCAGTTAGTTGAAGCTGCTCAGCTTGCCAGAGCACCTGTTCAGAAGCTAGCTGACCAGATATCAAAGTTTTTTGTACCTACTGTGAGTTCATTGCTCCCTTCGTACTAGAATCAACTTTGGATTTAACTGAATTTTTTATTACAATCATTTTGAATAGTTTCCTTACTTTTTATGCTAAAAATTTTACTTCACTATAATTCTACAAAGATAAGATCAGGATTAGGAAACTGGTACTGCACTCCAAATTTTAATAACTTGTTCTTTGCTTGCTGCATATTGCAGCTTTTGTGGGTGATACTTTTTGACGAAGTTTTCCCTTTTAAATGTCGTTTTCTTTTCCCACTATTTGTATTCATCATGTATATATTTATTTTTTAGTTCCCTTGATATCATCATTTATATAAACTTTTCTGAACACATCTAGTTTTGTGTAATAAGACATGAGATCATCATTTTCTTAGAGTGGGGAGGTATGAATTATCCTATCTCCTTCTGCTGCAGTTTTAAAAAGAAAAGAGAAGAATAAAATCAAATACTTTCTTATTATTATTTAAGAGTGGGTACAGATCCAGTTATTCATTCTAGCTGCAATTTATAGATTGGCTTAACAGTAAACTAACTTTTTGGTAAGACACCAGAAGTTTTGTTCTTTTCATGTACTTTAGATTTCTGGAGCAGGAAAGCTGAATATTTTCAATCCTTGTGGAAGCTACTATCTTAACCTCCAATAGAGAATCAAGAGATGTGGATAAAATATGATTTCACCGATTCTATTTCCCAAAGTGCAGAACAGAAAATGAAGACAATTGAAAATCATAATCAGAATGCTTTTTCTTTTAGGACACAGTATTGATGATTGGCATGGCTTGTGTCCATCATGCCAAATTTTATGCAAATGTGCAATTCTGTATGGTTTTACAATAGGTGAAAATTGATTGTTATTGTTAATTTTTATTTTATCAACTTTCAGGTTGTTCTAGCTGCATTTCTAACATGGCTAGGATGGTTTATCCCTGGAGAAGCTGGTATTTACCCTAAGCATTGGATACCAAAAGACATGGATGCTTTTGAGCTTGCACTGCAGTTTGGCATTTCGGTGCTGGTAGTTGCATGCCCCTGTGCTCTGGGGCTAGCAACCCCTACAGCCGTCATGGTTGCCACAGGCAAGGGTGCTTCACAAGGGGTGCTTATCAAGGGTGGAAATGCACTTGAAAAGGCACACAAGGTATGTGCACTCTTACAAACGACTGCGGTCTAACTTGTAGGTTGCACTTGAGAAAAAAAGCACCTTCCTTTTGTTTATACACGGTGATATTAAAAAATATTTCATATATGTGGCTCAAAAGTTTATTCACTGTTGGTTCTGAATTTTGTAATCCTTTTGGATCAAGGAGGTGGATTTCCTTTTGATTTTCTTGGGGGATGTTTTCTTTGGAAATTGGGCAATTTTCCAAAGCTCATATATCTTGCACTATGCAATTACATACACTGGCATATCATATGTTTTTTGACATAATATGTAAAAATAAAAATGCTGCATTTATGAAGAACCATTTCATTTTTGTTCCGAGATTTGTTCTTAGTTTAAATAATTAAACATTGGATTAAAATTAAAAATTCTATTCCTTCAAAATAAGCGAAAATTGCATTCTCTCTTTTGTGGTGCATTTTTGGGTATTCAATTACTTTCTTGGAGTTTGGTTAGGGATTCATTTTCATGTCATGGTGTTCCTTGGAAGCTTTAACACAAGATTTTAATGGAGCCATATTTTGACCATGCAGGTAAAAACAGTTGTCTTTGATAAAACAGGCACGTTGACTATTGGGAAACCAGCAGTAGTAAGTGCCGTGCTCTTTTCCAAGTTTTCCATGGAGGAGTTCTGTGAAATGGCCATTGCTGCAGAGGTGGGTTCCATATTTGGAGAAGTTTCAATACGAAATTTAAGATTAATGACATGGATTTTAGGTGCTGACTAAAACTATGTTGGAAACGGAGCATGGAAGCCAGTGATAATAGAAAAATGTGGCAAGAGTGTTGGAAATTACTTAAGTACAGAAACTAATAATGAAACCGAGTTTAAAAAAGCAGCTTTTATTTATTATTATTATTATTTTTGTTGGGGTGGGGTTTTATGTGATACATGCAAGAAAAAAGAAGCATAATTGTCATCTTGGAATTATTTGTAGAAATACAAGAGATTCACAAATAACACACGAACAATGATAATATGTGATATAAATATTATATATATGCATGTATATATAAGTAATTTGGGTTTTTGAATCACATGCATTATACAAGAAAATATGCTTAAAGGATATGTGAATTCTGGATATATTATAACTGAGATGATGTATAGGAACCTCTTAAATTCATGGAATTCTATAATGCATAAGTTGGTGTATATGTGAAGTTGTGAACTTAAATGTATATTTATTTATTTTTCTTAAAAACCTTTTTAAAAAAAAATTATATTTCAGGCAAATAGTGAGCACCCAATAGCAAAAGCTGTGACAGATCATGCGAAGAAGCTAATTCAGAAGTATGGATCTCAAATGGAACATGTCATGGAGGTGGAGGACTTTGAAGTACATCCAGGATCTGGGGTGGGTGTAAAAGTTGGAGACAGAAGGGTATTGGTTGGGAACAAGAGGCTCATGCGGGCTTTTAATGTCCCAATTAGTCCTGAGGTTGAGGACTACATGTCAGAAACCGAGCAACTGGCTCGTACTTGTGTGCTAGTTGCCATTGATAGGAGGGTTGCTGGAGCTTTTGCTGTGACTGATCCGGTGAAGCCAGAAGCTGAACGTGTCATATCTTTCCTCCAATCAATGGGCATCTCGAGCATTATGGTGACTGGTGATAACTATGCTACAGCAAATGCAATAGCAAGACAAGTTGGAATTCAGAAGGTTTTTGCTGAAACGGATCCATTGGGAAAGGCTGATAAAATAAAAGATTTGCAGGTACGTTCAGTTTGCACATTCTATATGAAAAAATTTATGTATTATTGATTGATATGTTGATTGTTCTATTTATTACAATGATTCATGATTCCTATATATAGAAGAGGGTGAGTGTGTAGTAGGTAAGGAGTAGGTGAAGTGGAGGTGGTAGTGGTGTAGTGGGTTAGGTTTAGTGGAGTAGGTGAGGTGGTAGTGGTGTAGTGGGTTAGGTTTAGTGGAGTAGGTTTAAGTGGGTGAAGTAGGTGATAGATTTTAACACTATATTCTAACACTGCACAGATCAACGGGAATTATGAATCTGGTAATCAATTGCTCCAGTAGCCAATGAGTAGCCACTAGTGGGTAGCAGGCAGCATAATTGTGAAATAATTATGAATTCCTACACCAAAGGCAAAAGAAGGAAGAGAGAGTGGTTTAATTAATAAAATTACCAATAAAAATAATACCATGCAATCTGCTGCAGTAATTTCTGATCTTAGGACTTAGAAAAGTGTCATTGTCAATTTAAATGGTTTAGAGCATCTCCAATGGTGTGCTAAATTCTCGAGCCAAAGTCATTTTTGGCTATATCATCACAAAATAACTTCTCCAATGGTGTGCCAAACCTTGAGCCAAAATTTGGCGAAGCCGAATTTGCCACAAGATTTGGCTTTGTCAAATTTGCTATTGTAGTAGTATAGCTAAAAATGTTTTTTTTTTTTTTTTTTTTTTTTTTTTGCACTGTAGCGAGCTAGAAAATGGCTTTAACAAGGTTATTTTGACTTTCACTATTGGATTTGGTTCCCTTCTCCATCGAAGTTGTCAATTCCGTATTGCTCAGTGTACTGTTTGTTGTTATTGGTACGATATGTATTAGTACCACAGCATTTTTACGTATCATTTGGGATTTGTCTATTAATATTTATTTTTTATTTGTATGCATTTATAAGCATTGAAACACATTTGGTAAAATGTTTTCCTAATGTATTGTAACAACATTTATGAGAAGTTTATTTTCTACAAACATGTAGAAGTTCACATATGTATAATACCTGAATTTTGTTTAAAATATTAGGTTTAGGGGAATTTGGTCAAAACCTCCTCATAATAAAACTTTAATGCATTAAGGATAAGTACAAAAAGTTTTTCTTGAAAAGTCTAATACATATCACTATTATCAAAATATTAAACTTTAAAATAATATAACTTTTGATCTACATATCGGTTTTTAATAAAGTTAGTACTTTTAAAATTCTCTCATCAAGATCTATCAAATAAGATCCATGTTGACTATGAAATTCTTACAAAAAATATTATTATTATTACAGTCGAAATTGATGTAAATAGTGGCATGTTACTCTATTTGACAGGAATATGTTATTCTATCTCACAGTAATATTTTAGTATGGTTCACAGTAACATGTTACTTTGGCAATATTGTCCAAGAAAAAAAAAAAAGAGGATATTTTACTTTGTCCTTGCTTAATTATGTGCCTCCTCCTTAGAGGGTTTATGAAGCAAAATAAATTGGATTATCCTTTTCATCAAACAAGGGTCCAATGGAGGGGTTTTGGCTAAATTTCCCTTAGATTTTACTTGTAAATTAATATTTATACATATTTTTCATTTGTATATGCATGTAAACATGGAGAAGCTAGTGAGGGTTTTAGAATGATGTCTTGTCATCATTGTTGGCCTTGTCAATGTCAACGAAGCGTTTGTGCTACTTCATCTATGGAACAAAAAGCATCAATTGAAAACGTGAGCATAGTCTGGATTTTCCAGATGTTGGCGGAACAACCAAGAAACTTTAGCACGACAAAACTAATGCATTTTTGTACCCTTTTTCTTTTTTGCAAAATCGGTATATCTTGGTCCTTTCCAGCTGGTACGGAACAAGATTGGTAACATTGTTCACTATTTCTTTCTTTCTTATAGCTTGAAGAAGGAACTGAAAAATTGGTGCTGATACATGTTTGAATGAATAAGGGTTTCAGACACATGAAGTCGTACTATTATATTGTTATCTATTATCTAAATGATTTTCAGTTGCATTTTTGGGGTATTTTTCGACTTAATAAATAAAGCTTTTTGAATTTACCTATGTTGGGGTAATCACTCTAGTTTACTACACTCGTACAAATGCCATATAGTATGGTATGACTGGATGGTGCAATTATAATTTTCCCTTTGTTTCATTTTATATAAATTTGACTTGGAGTCAAATTTAGAAATGTGAAGTTTCATTTATCTCAGTTACTTGGTAAGGTGGCAAATTGAGGAAATTAGTAGGTCACACCAGAATCACATCCATTGCCAACTAGTAGTTTTATCGTCTGGAACTAGTAATAGTGGATTTACCATCTGAATTAGGATGGGAGATGAAGAAGTTTCTCTTAGTTCGTTGTGTTGGTAACTGGTAAGCCTGAAGGTTTCTATGAATGCTGAAATAGTTGATTGTATATATATTTGATATGAAAGTTGTGGAATTTTGTACCTTTAAATGAATAATCCTTTTGTCCTTGTATTCCTAAAAATTGTACACATTATTTGAAATAACATCTACGGTGCCCATTAGATGATTTCAATTCTATTTTAATTGCCATGTGCTCCCTTGCTGGATTCCCATCTTGTGCAATTGAATGTCAATGAACACGGTCAATTTACTTGGTATGCCTAAATTTATACTCGAAAGATGCGTTAAAATAAGTAAAGTGATATATATTATTGATGCAGAATATATGCAAAAAATCATTAAGGAGAAAGAAAATTGTTAAAAATGATGACATTTAAAGAGTATCTTTGTTGAAATATACACAATTGAAATTGCTTTTTAACTATTTGAGTGAACTTTCGATGCAGATGAAAGGCTTGACTGTGGCAATGGTGGGAGATGGAATAAATGACTCGCCAGCCTTAGTTGCAGCCGATGTTGGAATGGCAATTGGTGCAGGCACAGATGTAGCCATAGAAGCAGCCGATATAGTTCTTATCAAGAATAACCTGGAAGATGTAGTTACAGCCATAGATCTTTCCAAAAAGACGATATCACGTATTCGACTCAACTATGTGTGGGCGCTCGGATACAATGTACTTGGGATGCCAATTGCTGCTGGGGTTTTGTTCCCATTCACCGGGATTCGTTTACCACCTTGGCTTGCAGGTGCTTGCATGGCTGCTTCATCAATTAGTGTGGTTTGTTCTTCACTCCTTTTGCAGTCTTATAAGAAGCCTTTGCATGTTGAGGATCCTTTAGGGCCTAGTACTACTTGCTAAGATCAGTTCAAAATTTGAGAATCATAAACTCAATAGTCTTAAAGTTGTCAATGTCACACACCTCGTGGGACAAGTTGTTTAGCTGCTTTCCACTAGTTATAACATTGTCATGAAGCAAGAAATTTCTAATATAATAATAGTCAAACGTGATTGCAATTTGGAGATTATGATCTCATTCTGCTAGAATAATAAAATGTGTGTGCATATTGGGATTGACAAAACTTTGCTGCATCAAAAAGTTTTTGGACCTAAGGACCTTTTTTCTCTTTAGATTAAGGTTATGTTTGGATCTAGATTCATTGAAGTTGAGTTTGGATTGGGGATTTAAGGATGGATTTGTGGAAGGAAAGGAAATGGCAAGAGTAATTTGACACACAAAAAAAAGTTTTTATTTCATTGACTTTTCCCTTCCTATTTCTATTTTATATTTTTTGTCTATAAATTTTTCTTCCAATCCTTGATCCAAGCACAGAGGGAAAAGAAAAAAAAAAAGGATTACTTATACTATTTATATAGGTAATTATTGGATTATAAATTTAGATAGTGATTTGACAAGAGGAAGAGATAGGGAAATGGAGAGAAATTTTAGTCTATGCTCAACATCTCCTTCCCTTGTTCCCTTTTCAAATTCATATCTGAATACAACCTAAAGGGAAAAGAAGAAAAAAGGGTGGGTTTGTGAAATGTGTTTTCTTCTTATTTTCTTAACCCAACCAAAAAAGAGAAATTTAGTTGGCTTCTACATCTAAGTTTTAATTTTGAAATAATTTGAATTTCATATATTCTGAAGTTTTTTGAGCACTGAAATTTCTTAGCACTCAATTTTTAATTCAATCAAATTATAGTTTTTATATCTATTAAGTTTTCGTTTGAGATGTGGGTTGATTTTTTGGTTATTTTATCCTATGCCTAAAAAGTCTCGTTTGGGATGAGTTTTTTGACCTTTTTGACTTTTGTGAGAGAAAAAATAAAATGATTATAGTTTGGATGTGACATTTTGTGTTATTGGTTTTTAAACTTATTTTATCATTTTGTGACTAAAATAGCTAAAAAAAAAAACCCATACTAAACATAGCCTAAATAAGAAGCAAAATGGTTGGTTTAGCCACATACGCTTGCCTCACATGCCGTCTTAGTGTACATTGAACATTAAGAGCATGTTGTCACGAATTGGGTGCTTGTCATCCTCCTAAAAAACCGGCTCCATGAGTGGTATTGCATACCCGTGAATTATGCCCAAGGACCAACCTAGGAGATGCGATAGGGATCTATCCTACCTGTCTTGCTGCTCACAAACTAATGCGCTTGTAAGGTGCTTGGTATAGAACTCGCATCCCTAATAAGTCGGTACGTGACAATGTGCTCCCATGTGAAAGGAAAATAAAAAAAAAAAAAACAAACAAACATGCCCTTTTTGTGTGGTCTACATTGAACATTAAAAAAAGAGAATTGTTATTAGCATTTATCTAATTTCTTTAGACTTCTTATTTTCTTGAACCCTCACTTTAAACCCTAAATTTTAGTAATATTTCTTTGAAATATCAATTTTACCTATATTCATAATATCATCACCCAAGTGCATATCCATTTAATTTTGTACAGTCTTTCTTCTTCTTTTTCTTCTCTTAGTAAACGATGAATGATTGAGAATAACAAACGATTGAGAGACAAATCAACTGTCTCTCTTTTATCCTTCTTTTATAAACGATGATCTCTTTCTCCTTGTAACCATGGACAATGGTATCTCAATCGAAAATCTCTTCAACGATCTCTTTTTTCTTTTTTTTTTGGGTAACCTCCAACTCTCCATCACATATATTATTATTATTTTTTTTGTTTCTTTCAATGTAAAACCCTTGATACAAGGGGTTTTAGAGGGAAAAACTCTCAGAAAAACAAAAATAAGAAAAAAATCCTACAAAATAGAACTGTTCGGTGTTCCAATATCGAATAAAATGCTTATATTCAGCAATGTATTATTGAATTAAATGTTTTCGTTCAGCACTGCATTACTGAATAAAACCTTAACAGTCGGCAAACTAGTATTGAACCGAAAACGACCCAGAATCGCAAATGTAAGATATATAGGAGTGTAAATTTGGCTCGGGTCGGCCCATGTTAGGCCTCGCAGGCTCCTGCCAAAGTTCGGGCCAGCCCACGGGGGCAGGAAATTAGGCCGAGGGTATTCGGGCCTTGGGTGAGCAGGGGAGCCGGGCTTGAACAAATTTTTTTTATAAAAATTTTATTGTTTCTCACTAAAAAAGACACTGGGCCTCGGGCCGGGCCTTGGGTGCACCTTAAGCTGGCCGATGACCGGGCTTCAAAATGATGGCCCAGGCCCTGGCCTAGGGTCTCGAGCCCAAACAGGCCTAAACGAATCGGTCCCACCCTGGGCCACGGGTCGTCCACAGGCCGCAGGCCTTTTTTACACTCTTAAAGATAGATAAACTTACTAATATAACGTCAACCTCATTAGAGTTGTTGTCAACGTCCTCTATTAGTCTATAAGTATCAACGAATGGTGAAAACAATCACAAATACAGAAACTCAGAGACTATAATAGGATTGTTTACAACGCTAATTGATTTGGAACATCGAATACATTTGAAACCACCGAACAAAAACGTTAACTGATTAGGTAATTTTCAATGTTTTTCATTAAAGATGAATACGTGGGTTTAGGATGGTGCTGAAAAAAAATACGATTAGGGTTTAGATTAATAAGGAATATGTATAGATAGGGATGAAGGTGAGTGTATAATATTATAAAGTGTCATTTTAATTATTTTAATTTGGTGGGGGATGTTCTATTAAGAGTTATTCTTTAATATAATTTTATTTCAAGATATAATTATAATGAAAAAAAAAGTGAGAATTTGAAAGTTTAAAAAAATTAGATAAGTACTAATAGCAGCCCTTAAAAAAAAAAAAAAAAGTTAATGATAACGTGTTCGTTGCACTTTTGAAGAACTGTACACGTTTCATATCAACATCTTTCTGAAGAACTGTACACGTTTCATATCAACATCTTTCTTTTAGTAAAGATGGTATTATCAATAAAAAAAAATCTTTAAAAAATAATATTAAATTGTTCAAAAATATCAAATGAATCGATAAGATCAAAATTGGATAAAAGGAGTCTTTATTGTTGAATAATATGTGCGATTATACTTGATTGAATCTTGAAGTAAAAAAATAATCGTAAGATCATACCATGTTTATTCGAAATTGTTTATTCAAAATGTAAGCTTGTTTCTTGACTATGTGTAATTTCAAACCTTATTGTTGAATTTTCAGAATCTATTTTTTTTTAAAAAAAAATTTAAAAATTAATTGGTAAAAAAATAAAATATGAAAAGAACTTAATATTTTTATATAATTTTTTGGAGGGTAAAAATATTTTTTTTAGATATTTATTTTTATTAAAATTAGTTTATAATTTTTCAAAATAAATTTAAAAAATAAGTTTTAAAAACACAATCAAATAGTATGGAAGCACAAGCCCGTGACAATTTTTTGTTTCATAAAATATCTGATGAAATATATTCATATAATTGACATGTAAAATAATGTATTGCTTTAAATATGGTATTCAGGGGAATATTACGAACGAAATGAATGAGATCCTTTCCATTTTACTTTTAAAAATGGAGATCTTCATTGGACTTATTATGCTTATAATACAGTGATGATTTTAGAAATTTTTATAAATAGGGTTACCTTAAGTTCTACAAATTTAAAAAAAAAAACAAACTTTAAACCAAACAACATTCCTCTTTTGTATTTTGAATTTTTTAAAAGAGTTTTTGAGTTTTTATTTTTCCTGTATTTTGTTGTCTTTAGTGAATTTTTTTTCTTCATATTTTAGTCAATTTTTTTTTAGATGCACCTAAAAAAGTAAAATGAGTTCATTTGGTATCAGCTATTTTGGCTAAATTAGTCAATAAAAACAAAACAGACTAATTTAACTAATAAGATAAAATGTCACATCCAAACTATAATTGTTTTACTTTTTCTCTCATAACAATTAAATCAACTACAAAAAAAAAATCAAAATTTATCCCATACAAAACTTTTTTAGTCAGTCTAAAATAGTCAAAAGCTAAGTTAAATTAGCTCATCTCAAATGAATAATAAGTGTATTTAGATTAAGTAAAACTAAAAAGTAAAAAGCAAAAACTTAAAATTTAAAAAATTCACCCAAGACAAATGAATTGTTGGTATTTTTTCATAATAATACAATAAAAATATATAAAATAAATTAAATAGAAATGACAAAACAATTTATTTATTTATTTAAAGAATGAAATATAGAATAAAATACACAACTAAAAATACAGAAATGAATTAGATTACATAGAACAAATTATTAACATGGATAACTAAATATTAGAACTCATCTTTGTAAACTAATTTTTGAAAAAAATAAGAACAAATAATAAGAAAAGAAGCAAATCGAAACCTGCATTAGACAATTTTCTTAAAACGAATTTATCGCATCTCGATAGATGCTGGAGGTACGTTGGCGTCTATCTCCCATGATATGACGGTCGAAATCAGCTAATGCAGAAGTACCTTCTGAATAACTTCAGTGAACTTGACAATGGTTGCACTCTCTCTAACAAGAACCAACAAAGGGGCTAGCAAAAGAAGATAGGAAAAATTTTCTTTGGAGGAAAAAAAAAAACTCCAACTTTTTTTATCTCAAAACGCCATCTCCATTTTAAATCAAAAACCTTGCAAAATTATTTTACAAAGTTGGAGGGGAAAGACCTCTATTTATACAAGTACGAGAATCCCTACTCATGAAGGCTATACATCAAGCCATTGAGGCTATAGTTATAAAAGTTAAAAATTTATGGCCACTAATATGGTCATCGATTCTATCAAAAGATGAGAATTACAAAATTTTACATTTCTCATGTGCTTAATATATACAAATAAATTTGTATATAATGATATTTGAATAAACCAATTAGATGGGTCACAAAATGGATACTAATATTAGGTCACAACCTGATCCAAGCCTAATTCTCAAACACATGCACAAGCTAAGCCCAATACAACATAGCCTAGCCCAAGCTCAAGATTAAGTCCAAGTCCAAGTCCGAGTCTACGACCAAACTCAGCACATGCACAAGGACAAGCCTAGGCCCAATCCAAACTA